GAATTAAGTTCATCGAAGCACTCTTGTCTTGACAATCCACGTCGAAAGTTATGAAAAATAATGGCACGAAAATGTTCACGATTCAATTCCATTTTTTGAAAGAGAAGAACTTTTCAATTTACTGTCAACAACACAAATGAAGCTATAATGGTAAATCGTCTGCTGAATTTATGTTTAAAAATATCAAACTTTCGATTAAAATCGTCTGCGGTCGCATAGCAACACTTACTGTTGCCAAGGCCAGAAATATAAATAGCAACCCTCGTATCATAAATAAGAATGAGAATTTTTCGTCTTGAAATTGGGACTGTTGATTACAATTTTTATACGATCCCTTTGAAGGCTCTTTTAGATATTGCGATAGATTTGCAACTGTGTTTTTAATCTAAAGCAAAGATGATAGTTATTTATCATGCCTTCTCCCTTTTCCCCCTATCATGCCTTCCCCCTCACGGTATTTTAATTCAACTTTATTCGTTGGTTCAACCACTCTATTTCAAAAAAATAAATGTAATATCTTACCATAAGTTCTTTTCCCTTTTCTTTGTCTCCACCACAGTTATACTGGGTTAGCTATAAAAAGAAGAAAAAACAAGTTTATTGTAAAACAAAAGTTAAAATCACTCTATGATAAAAGCTCCGTCGCTGTTTTGAGTTTTCAACTTAATGTTATATTTTGTTTTGTTTCGACAATGTTATAAAACTTGGAAAATTTAAATTGCGAAGGTACATTTCCTGTCCAAATTATTAAACGCACTGTAAGATTCTATGTAAAATCTTAATTATCAGTTGATACTCTATACAGCTTTATTGTTTTAATGTGACTGTTAGCACTTGTTTACGTTCGTGTATCGACTGATTAAATTAGACGATATATTATATAAATATAGAATATTTATTATATGATGTATTATAATAGTATATATATAATAATAATTAGACCAAATTATTCGACGCATTCTAGTGTTTTAATAATTACATGCTTTGCACGAGGTTGTATGCAATACTTTTATATTTAAACATACATGTAATGGGTTTTTTATTCGGGAGATTTTTTTATATACTTCCTATTTGTATTTATGTTTAACCTTGCATTACAATGTTAAACCAATTAATACATAGACGTAAATAAATGCAAATCGGTGTTCGTCGCGTAAAAACAATAAAGCTGTATAGAGTATCACCTGAAAATTAAGATTTTACATGGAATCTTATAGTGTGTCTAATAATTTGACCTGGCACTGTATAGTGAAAAATGTACATATACTACGATGGACTATAAAAATTTAATATTCGACAAATTAGTTAAAGAGTTATTAAGTATTGAACTTGTAACAAAAAAAAACATACAGGCTGCTTTACAGGGAGCAGGAATGCAACTACAGCATTTTTTTTTTTTTTTTCTTTTTTAAATTTTAGTTTGCTCGAAACAATTGCAGTTTGAAGAGTTTTTTACGGTTTTTTTCTCTACGTTGCATTTTGTTGCTGCTCAAAACCTATAAGACCTAGAAATTTGTCAAATTTATAAACTTACAAAAATTACATGAGGGCTAAACTCTACTGCTTGTTGTTGAAATGTAACAACAGAGATGAAATTTGACGCACTGTAAGAGCCTTTATCATTTTTATGAACTTAACATCAGATTTTCCTTTTTCGAAATTCTAGCTTGTTTGAAAGTTATTGCAATATTAAATGAGTTTTTTTTTCGCGAGTATTTCTCTCTCTCTCTCTCCCTTTTTTTTTTAAAAAAAATAATGACGCAGTCAAACCCCGCTATAATGAACATGATTTATAGTGAACTCCCGGATATAGTGAACGAAATGTTCACTCCCGTGCCTTGCTACACACGCATAATGTTATTTTTTGTGGACATAGCGAATCAAAACAAGTGAGGAAGTTGGATATTATGAACTTTTTTCTGTCCTCGACTAATTTATTTTCTTCATTTTTTTTCAATAATTTTGAAATTTCTACGTAAAAATAAATACATATACCGATTTTTAAAACCATCCTTAGCATGGAATGTAGCAATAAACATTTTTCTTGTTTGCTTCTTTATTGAATAGCATTATTGAATTGGTTCAACATTCATAAAAGCCGCAATCTTCCAGTATCTGCACAAATGCTTGAAGTCAAAGACCGATGAATTTGCTAAGCGATTGGAAGAGATTACTCTTATGTGTTCGAACGGCTGGTTAAACAGGTTTAAAAACCGGAATAACATAAATTCAGGAAAAATTATCTGAGAGTCGGGAAGTGTTTCCATATCTGATGTTGAGGATTGCGCATCAGCTAAAGATTTCTAATTTTTTTTTGTACGCAAGGCGAAGAGTAATTAAAAATAAAAGTTAACACATTTTTGCTACTACGTATTATTTTTCACTCATTTTTGTATTTCATTTTATGGGTCATTTATTTAAATAATGTGTAAAAAAAGGGGGGAGGAATTTTTAAAGATTAATTAAAATTGTTTGCGAAACGGATATAGTGAAGTCTCGGCTATAGAAAACCGAAATTTCGGTCCCTTGAAACTTCAATAATGATTTATTGTCCATTATTGTAGAAAAATAAATAACTATAATCTTTCAGAAGATTATTTTCTAAGCTCGAGCTTGAAGTAACAGAAGAAAAAATGAATAGATCAAATTAAACAAAAATAAAATAAAAAGAAAGTTTAAATGTTGCCAACATTTANAAACAGGTTTAAAAACCGGAATAACATAAATTCAGAAAAAAATTATCTGAGAGTCGGGAAGTGTTTCCATATCTGATATTGAGGATTGCGCATCAGCTAAAGATTTCTAATTTTTTTTTGTACGCAAGGCGAAGAGTAATTAAAAATAAAAGTTAACACATTTTTGCGACTACGTATTATTTTTCACTCATTTTTGTATTTCATTTTATGGGTCATTTATTTAAATAATGTGTAAAAAAAGGGGGGAGGAATTTTTAAAGATTAATTAAAATTGTTTGCGAAACGGATATAGTGAAGTCTCGGCTATAGAAAACCGAAATTTCGGTCCCTTGAAACTTCAATAATGATTTATTGTCCATTATTGTAGAAAAATAAATAACTATAATCTTTCAGAAGATTATTTTCTAAGCTCGAGCTTGAAGTAACAGAAGAAAAAATGAATAGATCAAATTAAACAAAAATAAAATAAAAAGAAAGTTTAAATGTTGCCAACATTTACATCGAAATTTTCAAAAATATAAAAGATTCAAAAAAGACAAAACCTTTTTCCAATTTGAACTGCTATAAGGAATAAGGTTATGTTAGATTATGTAAGCAAGTAAAACTACTTCTGCAGAGGATCAAAATTGCGATGGCATGTCTTCGGATCATCCTCAGGGATGTTTTCCCAAAGATGTTCCCAAGGATCCCAGGGATGTTTTATAATAGAACAATTAAAAAATGTGGCTCGTCCTTATATTACTACTAACCCTTTAATTAATATCTAAAACCAAACTTACTTCCAAATCCTCCATACACTTCGGTGCTTCCTTATTGTCAACTATTGCTAAAGTAAAAATCATGAAGTTATTTATAATAATTAAAATCTATAGTTATTACAGTTACATGAAAATTCTTTTTTAAAATTATACATTAGCCTATTTATTAAAACTATTCCAGGGTGCGTAGCCAAATCTTTCAGCAAAAAATAAGCACCTTTTAAGTACTTTTTAAGCACTCAAAAGATACTTTTAAGCACTATATATATTAACAAAATGCAAAATAATTTACAAAGACTTTACATGATCATGATAAAATAACCTGTTTCTGACAAAGAACTCTTTTTCTTGATTATATTAGCCATTATAAAAATATCGAGAGATTCTTCAGTTCGATTTCAGAGGGTGGAAAATCTTCAAAAATGCAGCAGAGTTGCACATGAGAATGCAAGCATCTCACCGAACCCAGCTCAGTAGGCGAACTAGCTCATGTGGACTCACAAGTATTTCATCAAACATGTAAAATGGTTGGCGCTTCTAAACGCTACGGACCGAATGTAAGCCGAAATGGATTGTGGTCGAATGAATTGTGAAAACATTGAATAGAACAATGTGAGAAGTCCGCTTGCACCACATGGTTGCTGCAAGTGGCTGAATTTCTCAGTCAGTAGAAACATTTGTTGATGAACTTTCAAACTAATTTATAAACAAAATGAACACATCTGTCCCGAAGTGGACAGAGAACACCGAGGACATTCATCACTGGTTGTGGTCAGTAAGCGGGTGGGGGACCACTTTGATCACCCTGCGTAGAGACAAAGGGTCCTCGTTAAACTGTTCTACCGTAAAACGTTCGACTTTGCGCGCGGGTCATCAAACTACCAAAGCATATGAGCCATGACCTTCGCAGAGGATAAGAATTGTGATGGCAAATCTTCGGATCATCTTCAGGGATGTTTCCTAGACCGTCGCCTATAGCCAATTGTGCAGCTCTAGTGCGACGTAAATAAAGTACCTACCTTCCGTTTTTCCCTTTGATTTTTCAAATTAATTTTAGGACATTTGGTGCAAGAGCCCGCTTTTTTTCCTTCTTCAAATCCACTTCTAACATACCGTCTCTTACTCCAACAAACCTGATTAGACGTCGAATTTTAATGTTAACACACCATCTCAACCAACTTAGCTAATTTAACACTGAAGTTTCACTTTTCTTTCATCACTCATTTGAAGAAGAATAAAAAAACAGGTCATAGATCGGGTATTTTTGAAAACCATACTTCATTGGTCTCAACTTTCTAACTATAACCTTGTTTGCGAACATTAGCTGTTTATGGGGGAGCTACTGTTTCACTTTTTTCCCACTATTTGAAGAAGAAAAGAAACTTACGTGGCTAGTACCTTAACATTTACATTCTTAAACATTTACAGATTCCAGACATGTACTTTTACTTTATTGTTGTCGAACTGACTCCGTAAGCACTTAGCAATCTCATTACGAGGCAGAGTCCCGGACTTCGAGGTGCCTGGATAAGCAGATGATATATATAGCGCAATAAATAATTACAAAAAGGGCAAAAAGAAAAACAAAGAAAATTAAGAAAAACAATAAGTTTTATAACTAACAAATCAAACGCACTTCAATACTGCAGTAAGAACGCACTGTAAAACAAAATCCCTCTATTTACGTTTTTACCTCAATTTGCGCTTTTGTTCTCATATTTCGTAATCTGGCAATCTTGTTACGAAAATATTTTAAATTAAACCCGTTCATGTAAGTTCATTTGAATTCGCTACTCGCTTTACAGTTTTCGTTTTATGTTTTATTCTGTTTTTTCTTTACATTTTATTTTCTGTTTTTACGTGTTATTTTTACTTAATGTGTTCCATTTTTATTTGTTGTAAAGTTTTTGTAAAAAATTTTTGAGTGCTCCTCACACTATTGTGTTAATATATTTTGCTTTGGTTATATTGATACAATATTAGAAAGCACTCCTTTTTGCGGTTATAATCGTGTGAGATGATGAAAAAATNGGCAGAGTCCCGGACTTCGAGGTGCCTGGATAAGCAGATGATATATATAGCGCAATAAATAATTACAAAAAGGGCAAAAAGAAAAACGAAGAAAATTAAGAAAAACAATAAGTTTTACAGTTATTTTCGGGTCCATCCTTGGTAACTAACAAATCAAACGCACTTCAATACTGTAGTAAGAACGCACTATAAAACAAAATCCTTCTACGTATTTACGTTTTTACCTCAATTTGCGCTTCTGTTCTCATATTTTGTAATCCGGCAATCTTGTTACGAAAATATTTTAAATCAGTCTTGAAAAATTTCCCGTTCATGTAAGTTCATTTGAATTCGCCACTCGCTTTATAAATTTCGTTTTATGTTTTATTCTGCTTTTTATTTACACTTTATTTTCTGTTTTTACATGTTATTTTTACTTAATATGTTCTATTTTTATTTCTTGTAAAGTTTTTGTAAAAAATTTTTGAGTGCTCCTCACACTATTGTGTTAATATATTTTGCTTTGGTTACATTGATACAATATTAGAAAGCACTCCTTTTTGCGGTCATAATCGTGTGAGATGATGAAAAGATTATATCTTTCCTTTTTCCGGATTTTTGTTATTTTTCCTATTATTTTTATTTTTACCTTTTTTCATTGTTCTGTTTTGTTTCTCCATGTTTTCTCTACATTTTGAACTTAAGAACTTTAAATACAATAAATCTTTTGGTAGAACTATTTTTAATTCAAATGGTAGTAGCAAAAAATTAGGGAAAATTAATATATTCGATTATGTATGTCACTGTGCCGATGTGCATGTCACTGTCATTTTGAATTTGTTGATAAACATATTACTGGTAATTTGAATATTATAGAAAGCTTAGAACTGAGAAATTTAATTATAAATGGGACCCATTTACCATGCATTAATAAATAAAAGTCTAAAATACTTTCTTAATGATCTCAATAATTTTTGACGAAAGATATCAAATAGATTCTCTTTACCTTTGGGTATGTTAACAGAATGAAAATGGACTGTTTATTACTTTAAAAACTTTATTTTAAATCATAAGAAAAATTCAAATATGGATAACAATTCAACAAATTTTTCTAAAATTGATTGATCCATTGAGCAACTATAAAAACTTTTTATAATTACCCCCATAGACAAAGCTAACAATAATTACGCAAATTTTCTGTAAAAAACTCTATTTCGAATTTTTAAATAAAGAGTTAAGAAATAGTAAAAATTTTAACCTTAGTAATTTAAATAACAATATTATCATTAAGAATATTTTAGCTTTATATAAGAGTTTAAAAATTAAAATTAGCATTATACAATTTCCTTACTCAATTATCAGTCCCAAATGTCATAAAATTACTATAAAATGTCATAAAATTACTATAAAATGTCATAAAATTACTATAAAATGTCATAAAATTACTATAATATAACTATAAAATTACTAAAAAAACAATCACATGTGAGTCTAATACTTACCTAACTAAAACTCGCACCATTTACTCTAACTACTTTAAAAAAAAATTATTAACCCTATTATTAAAGAAAGTTTTTCTAGGATTATCACTAATAATTAATCGATTTTAGAATTTTTTAAACAAAACAAAATTAATTCTATTGAAGCTTTTGATTTCCAGAATCTTTTCAAAGGCATTTCCAAACTAAAAGAAGTTCTTTTGAGTTATCACTCAAATTTTAAAAATATTTTTATTTCGATTTTGATAATTGGGAAATTCTAATTAATATTTATCTTTTTATGATTATTTAATTGATGGAACATTACAAGGATCTAATTTTTCATCTCTCTTAGTTTACTTATTTTTACACTATTATGTCACACTACAAGTTAAAAATATACTGAAAACACGGAAAATAATAAAGATTAATGGAAAGAGAAGGAGAAAAATATAATATTTTAAAAAAAAAATATTAAAAAGCCGGAAAACTAAATAATGAAACGATATAATCTTTTCATCAGCTCACACGATTATATCCGCGAAATGGAGTGCTTTGCAGATCAAATGATCTTTTCAAAAATATTTTATCTTTCTTCTTATCTTTTCATTAATCTTCATAATTTTCTATCTTCTCTCTATATTTTTAACTTATTTTGTAAGCTGTGTATACTTGCAACTTATGCGCAGTTAATAAAACTTATTAATTTTCTTCGTTTTCCTCTTTTTGTCTTTATTGAGCTCCCTCTCTCTCTCTCTCTCTCTCTCTCTCTCTCTCTATATATATATATA